TCACGTCCGGAGCTTGACCCTTGCATTTTAGGCTCTGAAACGACAGGTATCTGGATTTATGATGTTAAATTTGTTAATTCCTTAGGAGAACAAGTGCGCCTTGTACCACGTCGCTATGTACGTAAAGGTCGCATGAAAATAGGCCCCTAGATCTCGGCATCGACGCGACGCGTCAGAATACGCGCGCAACCGCTTTAGATTTCCAGTTATGGCGACAGTTCCACAATGGTTTCGAGCGTTAATTGTAGCGCAATGTATTTTTTTCAGTCCTACAAAATTGAGGTTTAATTTTTGGGCTTCCTAGTGCCTTTAAAAATTTTTAATAAGAGGTTTCTTTGGCTGCGTGTTTCCTGAAATATCGAAGGTAAAACTTGTTGTAAAAATTCTTGCTCAGTCGTTGATTCCTCACCTCCTGATTCACCAGCTTCTCCCCGGGCTTCAGGTTCATGAAGTCGGGCTTTGCCAAACCAGCCGGGATCTTCATTTCGGTGGGCTGCTCAATGGTCTTGTTCTCGGTGGCGTAGACGGCATAGAAGCAGAAATACAGTAGTATGAAGGACCGCATTTCCGAACTGCCAGAATCCCAGCCTTTCGACTGCTGAGATCTTGTGAGTTCCCCTTTTCGTCGGCGGCGCCTTTCTGAGCTGCATAAGCGATTCTTAGTTCAAAGGAGCCGCGCCGAATATGGAATTCCAGCGGAATTTGATCTTTTTTGGCTGGAACATGCTGATAAAAACCAAGTGTGAAATTTTCGAGATTAGTATGAGACTAATCGGTCTATACCCAAGGTCTTTTAATTACTGGACAACAACAATGCTTTATCCCATCCATATCCCAAATCAATGATGTGGTTTAGGGTTGACCGGACGCTTTGGTATCGGTGCCGGGATGAAGCCGGGTGGTGGGAGGGTCTTGTTCAGCTGCAGCTGCAAGTTGCACACCTTCACCGTCCTGAAAAAAAAATTGATATTTACACTCGACAGAAAGCGAAAAATCATAGCATAAGTCATCGGTATTATGAAAACTCGAAATCGCGAAAAACCTGGCATTTCATGTGAGAAACACGTTTAGCTGGAATATTCTTATTAATGCGCCGATACCTTCAGATTTTAAACTCCATGACACACCTATAAACCTTATCAGCGCCCCATATCATCATATGGTCACAGTTCGCCCAGTCGAAATTCCAGCCCCACTCGTAGAAGCGGCAGTCGGCGTCCTCTCGGCATTTAATTGCTCTCTAGAAAGTAATATACCAAATTCCTGAATTTTTGGCTTACGACACAAGTCTTCGGGCGTCCCTGCATATCAGCTGGCCCGTTATATTTTCCATCTTCGATCTGTTCGTACAAGTAGCTGCTATATGGGACCATGTAGCCGCAGCGTGTGTAGACGCCTACAAATTCAATAAAAAAAAAGCTAAATTAATAAATCTTTGCAGTTATAAGGCACTTTTCTCAATTAATTGCTACGCACTTAACGATGCCGAAAATGCGCTCTAATTACCGTAATCCGATTCAAAATTAGCCGGGCCGCAGTCCGGATCGTCGGTAGCCACACCGGCGGAGAGGCTTTGGCATTCGTATTCCTAAAAAACATGAATTGGATGGCGGAAGCAAAATCTTTTACTTACCTCTCTCTCTCTCTCTATCACCTTCTGGCTCTCTCTCTCTCTCTCTCTCTCTCTCTCTCTCTCTCTCTCTATCACCTTCTGGCTCTCTCTCCCTCACTTTCTCTCCCGCTCTCTCTCTTTATCTTTCTCTCACTCGCTCTCTCTCGCTCTCTCGCTCGTTTTAGGGCTCTCTTTATTTTTCAAGTTATCTAATCTGAAAGCCTTACCACAAGGTCTTCCTTCCTCCACTCCCTCTCATCTTTTGGAAACGGATTCGGGAGCGGTATTCCAAGATTCTCCTTGCCGTGCACGACGCCGGGATGGCGACGCGAGTTTGAATATCCTAAATGAACTAGCTAGCGAACTAACTACCTAAATGAACTAGTTTCTTGGTTTCAGTTTTCAGCGTTCGTTTTAAAAACTTTATAATCGTGCTAATAAAGCTATAAAAACTATTTACAAAAAAAACAGGGCAAAATAAACTTGCCGACAAGCGGTTCCGGTTGGCTGACATCACCATTTTGCGCTCCTGGATGGCTGCCAGTCTGAGGCTCCGGGTTGGAGGGATCTAGAAAAATGCAGTTTTCGAAATTGTCCTTACTACTAGGTCCTCGTTCACGTGAAAGGTATAAAGATGTAATATGCCCGAAATTACCGTTGGGATGTGGATGCGGGTTGGGACGTGGGTTCGGATGTGGATTCGGATGCGGATTGGGCTTCGGGTCAGGCTTCGGATGTTGATTTGGGTGGGGATGCGGATTCGGGTGCGGCATCGGGTTGGGATTAGGATGCGGATTGGGGTGTGGGTTTGGGGGAGGGTCTAAAATGCAAGTTAAGATGGTATCTAAACGAGCTGCATTTTAGACTCAATAACCTACCATGTGGAGACGGATTCTCGTGACTATCACCACCTAAAATATGTTATAACATGAAAGAAATTTTTAAATTAAGGACTTTTGTTGTGAATCTTTTTGAAACTGCGATATGCCTTTAATGGAAAGGCTATAAGATTAAAAATCTGAGATTTGGATAAAAAGAGAAGATAAAAAACTCATACCATTTGGCGACGGATTCTCGCCGCTGTCACCGTTTTGTGACGGCGTATCGGTGTCATCTGAAGATAGTCCAAATTTATGAAGCATAAATTACCTTGTGAACCCGGTTGATCCATGCCACGATCCGGGTGACGACGGCAGTGCTCTAGCTTTAGAAGCAACACAAAAATGATGAGGCAGGACAGGTGCCCCATGACTTCAAATATGAAAACCTGGACGCCGAAAGACCTTTATCTAGCCTATGGTACAGGTCGATTGACTTACAAATTCGGATAGCAATATGCCGACAATATTAAGTTTTATTTTTAGTTGTTACAACGCTGTTCGGACGAATATTAAAGCTTTATAACGCTTTGACAATGTCCTGAATTTGAGCAAAAAGTCAAAAACGTCATTTTTCTGGCTGGTTGAAAAAAAATCGAAATTTTAATCCACGCAGAATTGATGAACAGGCGGATTCGCTCTTCTTTGAAAAATATGCCGAATGTTTAAGAAAAGCCAATATCGTTCGTATTCCAAACCTTGTAGGATTCGCACAATATCCAAATTTCAGGGTTGTTGACCAGAGTTATTCCGGAGCGTCATATTAAGAATATGACACGCAGATTCCACAAGGATTTTTGCTAGCTGACCCTCAGAATCCAGGCGCACTTATCTCTAGCATTTTTCCCCGCAGCATTCACTCGTTTCCAACTTTTTTAGAATTTGTAATCTCTTCCAAAGCCTTGAGAGGTGATTTTGGTAGTCAAGCTACATAGGCAAAGCAGACTGACTTTAGCGTTTTATAGCCCGTTTAAACGTCTAGGATTTCTACTTTCCGGTTTGGTTTAGCACTTAATTTTGAGCTGCTCTAATCGGAGGGCCGATTACCCCACGATTTACTGCGCCGAAAGTAATCATCTCGAAAAGCACTATTTCGGTAAGGGATCACCGCGAAATAATTTGCGTAATTTTTTTAAAAAATCCTAAAGAAAAATGGAAAAACAATGCTGTCATTTTATGAGGTAGGCATGCCTTCCAGTGTGGTAGCTTTTAAGGGTGATATCCGTACATTTCCATGTTATAACCTTCGACGAAGTGACCAGACTCCTCCAAAACATTCCCCGAATTCTCGCCGACCCCTAGCCATCGTCCGCCACGTCGCCCTTGCGCTAGAAATTGACCCCCGACACTCCGGGAGCGTGTTGGCCGGCGAAACGGGCCCCGGGCCCACGGACTGTACGGGACACTCCAAAGCACGGACGGATAGACGGCGGATGGAGAGGGGGAAAAGAAGAAGCCACTACTGGGTCTTCTGATGCGCCACAATGGGGGTCCCATCGCCGCGGGGCCAAACAAATACCAGAGCGAGGGGCCCCCCGGGGGCACGAAAGGATGGTGATGGCTCGGACGGTTTCCGGAGCCTGGCACCAGCTGACGGGGAGCTGAACAAATGAGGGGGAAATCTCGTGAATTAGAGGTGATGAAATTTGGCTTTTGAAATCAGATTTAGGGCACTTGGCCTGGGAATCGTGCGCTACAGTATGAAGTGTCGTCATTCCATCATTTTAATGATTCCAATTGCTGTTTTAAGAAATTTAACGTCACGATCGGCATCCCGAATTGCTTTGTCTATACCAGCGTATTTAAAGTAGCTTCTGTTAGTATTTTAAGGGCCTTACACGGCTATTCTAATCATATTTTTGGGACCCGGCATTGCATATTTGATTGTATTTTTATTCTTTGCGAGTCTGGTGGCTTCCATTATCATTTTCTGATTTTTTGGTACCGTAACCCTGTACGTCGTTGTAGGTGCCGTTTTCAACCGTTCCGTTTATTTTTGCGCCTAACAGCTATCATCCTACGTATCTGGTCCCTAAATCGTTTCGTTAAAAACCGTACAGTGGTCATCTTGGGTACCGCATTTCCGGCGGTCCCCGGTTTCTTACTATAAAGGTCGCCACGGGCGCACCCGCCTGATCGCCTGAGGCTACTGAAGTCTGTTTCTCTCGCTCTCTCTCTCTCTCTCGCTCTTTTTCTCTCTCTCTCGCCATCCCCTAAATGTCGAGGCTCGCGAGCGAGTGAGCGCAGGCGGGCGGGCCGGCGCAAACGTAAACTTTGCGGCGCGCGCGCCGGAAAGGCGCTTCTCTAGAAGGCGGAGAGACAGGCTGTCGGCTGATGGTAGAGTGGTGGCATTTCGCCTCAGGACCCTCCTAGAGGAGACCGTTCACAGGAGTCGCGCGTACCTGGAGGGGTCAGGCCTCTGCCCAAACACTAGCCCCACACCACCACACCATCTCTGGCCCTCCACAAACAGTCGCCGCCACGCGCCACTGGACAGCCAATACCCGCGCACTCAGGGTGGAGGCTAGGGTTTTGTTGCCTGGGAGTTTAGAGTTTGAGGACGGTTTAAGGGAAATTGGAAGGCAGAAAAATCGCGGATTTAAAAGCCTTAGGCCTGCCAAAACAAGGTTGATCACCGGCTGCGCAGACGCCTAAAAAATCTAGATTGGCGTAGCGGTAGTTACCAACAATTAAGAGAAGTAGAAATCAGATTATTTCTAAAGGGGCCGTGAAGTACCAAAATTGACCCTTCCCATGACTGAGTATCGAGAAATACGGTACCAGATAAACGTGCAGGCTAGTATTTCTAAATTAGCGTCAGAAGTACTGCTCCCGATGGCTTATTAAAAGCAACCTGAGTGTTTTTGGATAGCTTCGGACCTGTCGAGACCTAGTCGAGGGTATGGTAGATTCTAGCTCATTTAAAATGGAGGACGACAGCAGGGCTACTATGAAATTCAAATGCTGAAGCGATTGGTAATGGAAAAAGAACCTGACTCGGGTTTGGGTCCGGCTCGAAGGTGATCTAGCGGTGGGGGTCGATTTTGTCTCTTCAGAAACCCTTTAAAGGGAGATGACCATCTAATAATAGCTGTTCAGAGAGTCGGTACCAATTAGCTGCTTGCAGACTCATCAGAACCGCACTAAAAATCGTGGCTCTCTATCAGGGGGACGCGTTACCGTATCAAGTCAAAACCCAAGTAAGTGTCATGCTCCCTTTAAAAGCGGAAGAAGATCATTAAGCAACTGCTTCTCCCAATTTTTTAGTACTTTTCTCTTTGCAGGAGACTACTATAACCTTGATTACCGTAACTTACCATGAACTTAATTTTATTGCACCCCTCACACTTCTCTGCATACCACCAAACACCCAGGACTATATTTAACCCAAAGATCTCCCGGCACCGGAATCGACCCCTTTCAAAACGCCGATCGGTTCGCAAACCATATAAGCGGACAATGCCCTCAAAAAGGCCACTGTTTGGCCACGGTACCAAATACTCGATTCTCTCGCTACTGGCCCTCTTTATCCACCAGCCCCCCAAAAAACATGACAAAGCCATCGCCCGATTCTCTGTGGCTCTCGTGACTCACTGGGCACTCAGTTGAGGGTGGGAGGTCGGTGCGGGACCCCCGATTTGGAGGGGTCGCGTAGCCCCAGGGCACGACTGTCCGGAAGAGAGAGAGAGAGAGAGAGAGAGAGAGAGAGAGAGAAAGAGAGAGAGGGAGCGACGAAACGCTGGCGCCTTTGTTGTTTTTCGGTCCGCCGGGGATGGCCACCGCCTGGCGCGCCGACCACGCGCAAAAACCGACGACTCCGGCGAGTTCGGCGGATACGATCGAGCGTTTGGAGCTAGTTAAAGGTGCAGGCAAAAGACGGGATAGACCCAAAGGTATTGGCAGGCTGCCAAGCCTCGATAGTGATGGTTAAGGGCACCCGGAAGATGCGCCTATAATTTTAATGATTTTCACCGAAGTTAAAATCTAAAACGAGCTTGAAGACTTTTTGTAGGATACTCTACTTTTTAAGATGATCAAGAAGACCCTCCAAAGTGTTGATTTTGTCAAATTCTAGGATTTTCGCCGTAATCTCCGGATCTTTAAATTCAAGAAACTTCTAAAAAATAAGAACGCTAGCTTTTATGTAAATCTTCTAATTTGGCAATTTTGTATTTTCTATAATTCTTACCGTATTTAAAAGCTATATTTTGTTTACCCCCTAGCCTTCCCAATCCCTTTAACCCGCCGAAAATCCCTTTTGTGGGGGCGATAACAAAAGCTTGTGAGCAATGAGAGAGCGCGCGAGAGAGAGCGAGAG